CCAATATTGTTTCCAGGTTTCCCGTGCATGCTGCTGCACAAAATAACCTCCACCAAAAGGAGAGGGGGTGAAGGGACCCCAGGATCACATAGGTCTGGGTTCAAAGTTCACACGAGCTCTATGACCTCAGGTGAGTCACCGAACCTCTCTGAAACTCAGCATCCCCTCTGCCAGGTGGACATAACGACAGTCTCTGTTTCTCAGCATCTGTACAATTACTGCACTTGGGGCGATGCCCCTAATGCCGACTAATGTTCCATTCACCCTCCCCAGAGCCATGGGGCCTGTCTCCCGCTCCCAGGCCCTGTCCACCCTGGTGAAGCAGAAATCAGGAGCAGAGGAGAAGTGGCTTCTTAGAGTCATGAGTACAGGGGCTGGAGGTGGGGGGCAGGCCTGGAGGTGTGGGGGCATGCAGAGCGTCCCGGGATACAAAGGTCAAGGCTGGGTTCCACAGCAGGTCACAGGCTCCGCACGGCTTGATGGGGCTTCCCTCAGGCCAGCAGGGGGGTTGAGGACACTATTAATCCAGTTTTGGAAGCGTGCCACACAGGTGAAGAAGTCGGGACCCCAGCTGCAGGGCTCCATGGTGAAGGAGGCCACACCATGGGCCAGACCATTGCAGATGAGGGGGCTGCCCCCATCACCCTGGGTGGGCGGCAGGCATGTCAGGGTGTCCCAGGGCCCTGCTCCACCCCACACCCCAGCCAGCACCACTGAGCAGACAGCTGCTCCCACAACTTCCTGCTCCTGGAACCACAAATGCAACCCCAGGCCCTTTGCACGCTCTGTTCCCTCTCTGTGCATGCTGTTCCCCACGCCCTTCGCTTGGCTAACCCCTCATTGAATTTTGGGTCCCAGATGACTCCAGGAACTTCCTGGCACCCCCAGGCTGGGTCAGATGCCCGCCAAGGCCCCCAGCAATCACAATGTCTGACAGCCCCCCACACTTCTTGGTCTGGGAACTACAAAAATGCAGGCCTTGCTCTGTCTTGTTCCCTGGGGTGTCCCCAGGCATCAGCACAGGACTTGGCACATGGTAGGTGTTTAGTAAGTGCTGTTTCTCTGTTTCTCAAGTTAAAATGCTCAATCCTGCTCCCCACTGCACCCCGAGTCTCTTTTGACCTGGATTTGCTTTCTCCTGCCACTGGGAGCTCAAGTCCTCACATGATGCCTCCTCCCGCCATGAGGAGCCCATGCTGGGTCTGCACCCGGCCTGGCCATACCTGGCAGATTCCACCCTGGCGGGTGAGCACACCAGTGCACACACTGTTGTGGTGACAGCAGTCTTCGGGGTTCAGGGTCACATTGATGAAGGGAAGCACGAGAGACGTCCCCCAGTCTGCCAGGTCCCCCAGCCGGCCACCTGGCAGCTGGTGCCAGCTTCCACGGTGACATTCTGCTGGGTCAGCAGCACCAGCACCACGTTGCTGGTGAAGTTGGCCTCACGGTCCACCTAGGGAGGGAAACTGAGTCAGGGGAGAGAGGAACTAGGGGGCCTCACAGGGCCGCAGCTAGGACAGAAGTGGCAGCAACGTGAATTTTGATCTGTAAGTGGTTTGAGTGCAAATCCCGGCTCGGGAAGTAACCTGCTGTGGGATGCTGGCTAAAGCCCTCTCTGGGCCTCTGGTTCCTCCCCCACAGAAAAAGAATAACAAATCATTCCTACCACAAAGGTGGCCTGGTGCATAAAAGAAGACCCTGAATGCAAAAGGGCTTACCCTGGAAGTGCAGATACAAACAGCAAGGCCAGTCAGCCAAAAAAATATTTAAAAATCATAATACCCAATGTCAGTGAAGATGTGGGGAAATGGGCAGTGTTAAATTCTGCTGGAGAGGAGGATAAATTGGTCTGGTCATTTTAGCTGCTGGGATGGAGAAATTTTTGTAAGAACAGTGTACAAAGAAGTTCCCCGTGATTCTGTTGTAACAAAAGCACTTGGAAACAGCTTCAGCGTTCCCCACAGGGGCTAGATAAGTGGCCTGTGGTGTGTCTCAGGACATTTGCTGTATTTTTTAAACCATCAACGGAAACACACATGTGAGTTTTTCTCTCCCTTAGGCCCCTTGGGTGGAGCCCCCCGCCCCCAGTGTGTCTCCAGCTGTAAAAATGAAGCCATAGCCAGTCCTATAGCTACGGGCTCCTCCACCGAGGTCAGGAGGCTTCTCCCACACATTTAATGAAACTTTCAGTTCCAGTAGTTCTGTTACATTCTTTCATAAGGTACTAATCTCTTTGTAAATATCCTCCTTCATATCCTGGAAAAATTTTTTTCTCATTTTATTGGGTCACCGAACTGTTTTTGTATCTCACTGAGTTTCCTTAAGATTGTTTTTGGGGCTTCCAGTCAAGATGGCAGAATAGATGGTTCCCAGTGTCACTCTCTCCCACAAATCAACCAATTTTCAACTATTAAAAGCAATGACAGAAAATCTCAGGCTGCTAGAGCTCAGGGGAAGAGGAGGAGAGATCTGCAGTGTTCATGTAGGCAGAAGAAGCCACAGTGAGAGAAAGAGAAAGAAAGGATCACTCTCACCATTTCAAATCCCAGATGCTTCCAAGCTGGAGCTGGTGAGTGCAGCATGGAGCAAGAGCTGGCAATGCTTGGATGCGCCAAGGGAGAAGAGGGCCTTGGTAGCCTTCAGGCCAGCAAGACTGCTAACAGGGTTCCTGTGGATGCAGATAGGAGTGAGGAGCCAGAACAACTGAAAAAAGGAGCCACTCAGAGGCTGGAGAGTCATTGCAAGGGTTTACAGTACAGATAGGGGGGAGATGGGTGAAACTGGGACACAGCGTGGACAGCTGATCAGCCCACCAATCAGTGCAGGACCACTCAGTGGAGACCAGTCAGGAATATGGAACTGTAGGGGGTGAAGTTTGCTGAAAAGACTCAGGCCCAGACCAGAATTTCCACAAACCTACATTTACCAGAACTCAGATGTCAACAATTAAAACCTGAGCTGCACAAAAAGCCTTCTGCAAGGAATCAGCAGCTAAGCAACAATTTAGCTCACCTATAGAGCTCAAGTGCTGGTCCCCAAAAGAAGGTCCTCCATTTCAGAAGTAAGCAAAGGAAAACAAATTAGTTCCAGTGTAGAATTTAAGTAATGGGAACTGCAAATAATCCAACACAGAACTGAAAGAAAAACCAAAATACCCACAGACCAGAGACTAAGTTTGATATTAACTAGTAAAGGTCTAACACCACCAAAGAATACCTATAAAATTTAGAATGACTGGAAGCTTCCTGGGATCCCAAGCCAGGGATCACAGAGGTCTGGGGGCCTCAGCCATGCCCCTCTACTTTTTGAACCAGGCCAGCAATGACCACCAGGCCACTGCAGGAAGCACCCTGGTCACCTAAGCCATGGAAGTGGGGCACCAAGGGCTCCGGCCATGCCCTGCTCACACCCACAACCTGCCCAGTGATGACCATCGAGCTGCCACAGGAAGCACACCAATCTCCTGGGCCAGGGCAGTGAGGTGCTGAAGTCTTCAGCCACACCTCCCACATCTGCATCCAGCCCAGCAATGACTGAACCACCACTGGAGCCCCCCTTGTCTCCCCTGCAGGAATGAGGGGAGTGCCACAGGCCTCAAGCACACCCCCTTCCTCCTTCTCCCAGGCTATTTCCTTCCCCCTTCCCATCTCCTGTACCCCCCAACTGCTCCACAATGCCACCTTAGAATTAAAAAATGTAAAGATTGCTTTCAGAATTCCTTTTCATTCATTTCAAGGATTTCGTGCTCTATGGAGATCCTCTTAAAATGGGTTTGTTATAACCTAACACGGAAGAAAAGGAGATGCTCCTAAGGGGAAAGGTAACAAAAAAATGGTAGCATAATTGGACTATCTACTAAGAAGTAACAACCTACTTCAGAATTGGGACTGTAACAGCTATGTTGTAGGTATTTTAACTTTTGCTCACTTTCATCAAAGCTCATATAAAGTACACTGATGGTAGCTAACATTACAATTAAGGCTCCAGGAGCATAGCTGGCTAGACATCTCACAATGATAGGGTTGAATATTTGATTCATTATGTATTTGGATATAAAAAATGAACAAAACATGGTAAAGGATGCTGAGAGGGAAAAGTGATTTGGGGAAGCAAACACCCATAATGTATTCAGGGTGAACCAGTGTAACCCACATTAGTATAGACATGTGTCCATGTACGCATCCATTTCTCACTTCCCTTAAAATAGTCAAAATGCCTGGCCTTGAAATAACTGAATTTTTCTTTTTTGCCTGTAAAATTATTGCCAGAATTTGAAAGTTCAATCATTTGGAAAATTAGTTATTTTATTCTTACTAATACTGAAGTGGTAAATCTAGTCAAAATAATTAAATTTTCTACATTTTACCACTTTGATATTACAACTTATGTTCTGTAGGTATTATAAATTCTGAATGTAAACTACAGTATCATTTCTAAGTTTTATGTAGTAGAAGGATAATTAAATTACAATCACCCACCATTTTTTTTACTTGTGATATTGGACAAATTACTTTTTTTTCCCTGAAACACTATTCCCTTTTAAATAAATGGATAATAATATTTGGTCAGCCAAATATAGGGGAGTGTTATGAAATAATGTGTAGAAGTGGGTGAAATCTTAGCTTTAAATCAAAAA